AGACATTTTTTAGAGGCGCGAGAAAATTTATTGGAGGAAGGACCTTTGTTTCAAATCCCATCTTTCGCCATAAGGAATACTGAACTTCACCTCAGCCTACTACACAGGGCTGTTGTGGAGAAAGAATTGGAGACATGTACAGATACTAAAGTAGAAGTAGGGATATTTTTAAAAATGTCACCCGTCCTAGTAGAAAACGGGGAAAAGTGAATATTTCAGTTGAGTTGGAGTCCTGTTTAGAGCACGATCTAGAAGTGGGAACTATGTTTAGTCTAAAGCAGTGATTCTCATTCCTGGCAGTTTCACTTTCCAAAATTCTCCAATCTCTGAAATACACCATTACTACAAATTACTGTAGTAATGAGTAAGTAGTAAGAAAATTGCTGGCAAATAGATGTAGGCTAAAGATATTAAGAATTATTATTTTTTGCAGCAAAAGACAGGCAGAATGTTAATATGCCACACAGGAATATTTAATTAGTTCAGCCTTTCTGAAATGTGGCACTCTCCAGGTGTGGTGAGACTGCAATTCCCTCAATTCCACGTTGGAACAGAACACCTGAAAATCTTGAAGTTTGAAGAAAACTAGAATTCTGCACATTCCAGGACTGGAATATGCACTCATCAGAAGACTGGACAAGATGACTGCCTGGAACCCATTCAGGTTAATGATTCTTCTTTCCCCACGCTAAATTATAAATTACAGTGGTTCCTGCTATTAGAGTTAGCTTGATTTAGTATAATGAAGGAAACGCATGACATGCATGTCAAAAGTGACATGCCACAATGATTTGTGACACATTAACATTCACCAGCACCCAGAAATTACCACGTAGTCTCTGATTTATAATATTAATGGAGACTGCCCATACATGTGGGAAGTTGGAACTACATTAAATGAAGCACCTAAGGATCTCCCTGTCCCTGCTTTCACCAATGCATTCATTAAATAAATGAATGAATGGGTCTTTAAGTACAGCCTGGGGTGACTCAGGGATGGGAGAATCTGAGGGAGGTCTAGTGCAGGGACAGGCATTCCCAGGAGGCATTCCCCCACCCTCTAAAATATCCCAGGCTTTGCCTCCTGCACCTTGGTTTCCCCAAAGCCCTATGGGCTTCCTCCATACCCCATTCCATCACCATTCACTGATTTAACTTTTTGATGAGTTAAGGAAGTCTACATAGAGAAGGCCACTCCCTCACTGGACCATGTGGCATAATCAAGAAGAAAGCTGATTTCTTTTGTTTCCCCTAGTCAGCTTAAACCACTACAATATCTTCTTAGATCCACCAGTGCTAGTCTGAAGAGGCTTTACCAGCGAGGAGGAAAGCCCCGAGGGTTGCATACAGTGGTTCCAGCCTCCATTGTCACCAGCAAAGGGCTGAAGGAGGCCTTTGCCAGCAAGGACGGAGGCCTGGAGGGACGGGTGCGCCCCTTGGCCTCCATTCTTGGCGACAAAGCATTTATGCAAGTATGGCAAAAGGGTTTGCAAATGGAGGGAAAGCTTTGGTGCTTCAGGCCTTTCATCCATGTGCAAAGCCTTTTGTTGCAAGTCTTGTCCAGACCTCCTTTTGCAGAGAACAGAGGCCTAAAGTAGAACCCTAGAGGGGGAGAGTAGTGAAGGAAATAGCCAGGGCAAATGTTGCAGCACCTCTGCGGTAGTTCATAAGTGTGAACGACTGTTGTGGTGCTGCAACATTTGCAATTTCAGGACTGTCATAAGTATTTGGGGTGGTTAGGTCGTAACTTAAAACAATCACTAAGTGAACTGTTGTAACTCAGGAATTACTTATATTCTCAAAAGCACATCTAAGTCTTGTGTGATTTTTGGAGGCTGCGAAGGAAAATGGGGAGTGCTCTCAGACCCTGCAAAAGTTGTGTGAGAGGGCCATGATTGTGAGGCCTCCAGAGCTTCCAAAAATCATGTGAGAACAGGAAGTGGTTTCATGTACTTTTTGGAGGCCACAAAAGAGCATTCTCCAAACGCACTTCAAAAACAAACGCCTCCTGCAATCTGGAGCAGCTTTGGATAGGCTATACTATAGGAACCCATCAATGGAAAGAACACTGCAAAAGAAGACTTGAATGTGAGTGGTGTACAACAAAACCTGAGAATCACTGGGCTGCAGAGATGAATGCTACTCTCAAAGTGAAACAATGTGAGATGACCCTTTGAATGGCAGCATTGGTATGAGGATGAAATAAACCCCCAGGTTTCTATTTCAGACCCAGCTTAGCGCTGCCACCAAATGACACTGTTCAAGATGACTTAAATCAGTGGCCCCAATCTTTTGGGCACCAGGGAACAGTTCAACGGGCAAAGGCGCATCTTGTGGATGGGGCTTTGCTTAGTTGCATAGTCCAATTGCTGAGATGCCACAGCCCATGCTAGTCCACAGACCGTGGGTTGGGGACCCCTGCCTAGATCAGGGGTGGGTTGCTATCGGTTTTACTACCAGTTTGCAACCCGCGCACAACACAGAACAATTTACAGTGAACTGCACACACAGAGTCACTAAAAACCAAAATGGTGCTGGCCCAGCGGCAGTGAGGGAACCAGTTTGGGGGCATGGCAGGCCTGGGTCACTGCCAGTTCTGTAACCCAGGCCTGAATTCCACTACCGGTTCACTTGAACTGGACCGAACTGGAAGCAACCCACCGGTGGCCTAGATGGTGTGTGTGTCTGTGTCTGTGTCAGAGAATTGTTTCTCTTTTGTTGGAGAGGAGTAACTGCCAGCAGAGTTCATTTTAGGCATTTTCTGAATTTTTGATATGCCAAACCCAAAAGGGTTTATCACCAGTCCAGTGACTAAGGTATCAGGCTAGAAACCAGGAAACTGAATTCTAATCCCAACTTCAGCATGAAAACCAATTGGGTGATTTAGAATCAGTCATTGCCTCTCAATCCAAGTTAACCTCCCAGGTTTGTTTTGAGGAAAATAGGAGGAACGAGTATTCAATATGTTTGCTGACTTGAGTTATATATAAAATAGTAAAGATGGGTTAAAAAATTTATCAAGATTTTGATAGCAGTTTCTTGTAGGTTTCCTACAGAACATGATGTTTATGTATCCGCTGTGACTTCAAGGAAGTGGATTTTTTTGTAGAAAGATCAAAGCTGAAACTGATTGTAGGGTGGAAGTTATTGAGGTCATGATGGAATTTGATTATTCTTTTCTATAGGTCTACAAAATGAAAATATTAAAAACCACCACTATTACAGAGCAGTGTGAATGTAATGTAAATGAGAACAGGTGTCAATCACCTGCCCTAAACTTTTACAAAAGAGAAACCCCCCCCCCCCCCAAATAAGACAAATAACATTTGGTTTCAATTTCCTCAGTCAGATATTTGCTGAGTCAGATATTTAGGCTTGGTACTATTTCAGGCAGGAGTCCCCAACCTCTTTAGGAAAGTGGGGCATGTTGGGAAAATATTAAAGAGTTAATGTCATAATGGCTATTGGGCGAATTTACATTTATAACAATCTAGTTATAAAACATTGTGTTGCTAGAATGATATCTGCTAGCCACCTCCGATCTCTACAATATAAAACAGTACAATTATTAATAGTATCAACATGTTTCCCATTCTTAATGTTGTAGGCTGCCCAAAGTTGCCTTAAGTGAGATGGGCAGCAAACAAATTTAATAAATAAATTCTTAACTCTTTTCTACAAGTCTGGTAGAAGTCCAAGAAAGTATCTCCAAATATCCTAGCATCTTGATATTGGAAACATCAGTTTTAAATCTAGTGGCACTAGAGAGATTTTGATTCCAGTCTACTCAGCCATGGAAACTTGCAGGGTAATTTCTGGTGAGTCATTCTCTTTTAATTCAATTTGCCCTATAGCAGTGATGGTGAACCTAAGGCACACGTGCCACAGGTGACACGCGGAGCCATTTATCAGGGCACATGAGGTGCTGCCCTGCCAGCTGGCCAGTGTGCATGCGTGCGATAGCCAGCTGAGTTCACCATTTTTAAAAGCCATTTTTCATTCTCCCCAGCCTCCAGAAGCTTTATAGGAGCCTGGGGAGGGCGAAAATAGCCTCCCTCCCCCACCCTTCCGAGGCCCTCCGGAGGCTTCATGAGCTTCCCTGAAGCCTCCGGAGCACAAAAAACCACCCCTACGGGCAAACCGGAAGTTCAGGAACAGACTTCTGGTTTGCTTGGAGGGTCATTTTGACTGCTCTGGTGGCTTCAGGGAAGCCTCCCAAAGGTCCCTGAAGCCTCAGGAGTGCTTAAAACGACCCTCCGAGCAAACCGGAAGTCACTGTTGCTCCTTGGTCCAAACTCCTCTTTTCTGATGAGAGCAACTTTTGCCAAAAGCACCAAAANAAACAGGTTGGCAATGCTTAATCAGGCTAAAAACTTGTACATTAAATTTTATCAAACTCTTGTTAGTGATTCATGTAATTAGTTGCAAAAATAAGACTGTGTATGGTTGATACTATTTAAAATCACTTTAAAAAAAACCACCGTCAATGCATAGTTAAAATACTGCTGGGGAATAAATAGTGATTTCACTCCTTCCAATGAACACTTTAGTTAGTTTCCAGATCATCTGTGCATCACAAGCACATAAATAACCCTGCTATGCAACCTTAATCCATTACAGATAAGCAGCATGCAAAAGCAGCACATTTCCAACAGAAGATAATATATGTAGTTTGGGGTTGAACTGTGAGCTTCTTGGTGCTCTGGCCTTTGTTGCTTATTTGCAGACATGTTGTTACCCAATCAGATAACATAGTTTTGGAGTGCCAAGAACCTCACAGAAGCTTTGTTATGTTTTTGTGCTGCCACGCATAGGAGAAAGGAAACATGAAATCACAAAGTCAACATATTGAAAATATAAGGGGAAAAAATATCTGCGTTTAAAAAATGGAAATAGGAATTATTGTCTTGATGAGAAAGAACTATGTTTTGTAGCTTCATCAGCACACTTGCATTGAGCCAGGGATGATTCTGGAGGGGAGGGGGAAAAAAAGCTTCTGCTCACTTTTGAATTATTTTTATTTAAACAATTTTCACCTTTGCTCTCCCACCCCCTGGTGGAACCCCCTTCTTTGAGCCAAGACTGCCACCTTCATCTACTGTGCACACATGGATGCAGTGTCGTCAGTTTTCTAGGAAGTATTCATGTCCATTTCCAGCTACTGCAACTTAACTATCCCAGCAATCATCCCCTGGTTCTAGTGGCAGTATCTTAGTGACCACTCCAGTGCCCATGGTTCGAGATCCATCCCGGAGAGTGAACCGTTGTCCTTCTTCCAAGACCATGGGGTACTGCAGTACGAGCTTAAGGCAGACGTTCTCGCCTGGCATCACCATTTCCTACAGCAAACAAGAGGAAAGGTATGAAGAGATGGCAACCTACACTTAGACCTCCACAACTACAAGAAATGTGGCAATCTAGAAATATTGAGATAATCCCTGTTCAAACCCCGGTACTCAGCAGTGATCACGCATAACAAATTGGAGGGGAAATGTGTGATACAAACCTTTCCCTCAGGTAATTCTAGGCGACAAGTCATATTCCAGGTCAGCGAGAACATAATTGGCATGAACTTAGACACAAAAGATGCTTGACGGCCACCTTCCTCTTTGGTCAGGATATAAACCTATGAAAGTAAAGCAATTTATTTTTCTTGTCTTAACTTTACATGGTAGGAGAGCATGTTTGGGGATAGTAGCCTACCAATGCCTAATAACGTGTTAACATGTGCTCCAGAGTTTTATGGACGTCTCTTTCTCAGCCCTCTACACGATGTGAAACAGCATGCTAGTATTCTGCCTTCCCACATATATTTCCCTCACTCACCTGAGCCTCAATCTTCTGATGTGGCTGGATGGAGCCAGGCTTACACATGACTAATCCCCGTCGTATATCTTCTCACCTCACAGACGGGATCAAAGTGCTGAAATTGTTTCCAGCCTGTGCCTGATCCAACTGTTTGTGGAACATCTCGACACCTAAAGCAAATTACACACACATTCTATGCAGCGTCCCCAGTTCCAAAAAAATATACAGATAGTCCTTGATTTACAACAGTTCTCTTGGTGACCATTCAAAGTTACAATGGCACTGAATGACTTATGACCCTTTTTCACTCTTAATGGCCATTGCAGTATCCCCATGCACATGATTTATATTCAGATGCTTGACAACTGACTCATTTATGATGGTTCCAGGGTAACGTTACCCCTTTGCGACCTTCTGACAAGCAAAGTCAATGGAGGAACCCAGATTCACTTAACCATGTTACTAAATTAACATCAGAGTGATTCACTTAACAAATCTGGCAAGAAAAGTCATCAAATGGGGCAAAACTGACAACATATTTCACTTAGCAATATAAATATTGGACTCCATTGTGGTTGTAAGTTGAGAACTAATGTACTTCTAGGATTTCCTCAGTCATAATTTTCAGGTCATAATTGTTTAGAAACATACCAGTAACAGGAGAAAAACTAAGCTAAAAACACACTGGAAGACCAATCTTGCAAAAAAAAAAAAGGGAGGGGGGGAATTCTACTTACCAGTCACAACTGAGCGTAAATGTGTTTTGTAACCCACAAATTCACATTCTTCCCCTTTCTTGAGAATCCCACGTTCAAGGGTACCTGCTACAACAGTGCCGCGACCTAGAACAAATTAAAACCAGTTTAAATAAAATAGTTATAGATCCCTACCTTTGGATGTGCAAGGTAGAATGTAATAATTTGGTACCTGGAATGGAGTAAGTACGCTCTATGGGAAGCAGAAAAGGTTGATCAAGGTCACGTTTTGGCACAGGGATGTATGAATCCACTGTATCCAGAAGCTTCATGACAGAATTCAATCCCAGTTCTGGATTTTGGTTCTACAAAAAAAAAAAAAAAAAAA